CCCCCCCCTCATACATATATATATTAACCCGAAAAATAGATTTAAAGAATTTAAACAAGAACCTATAAACAGTTGAGGGAAAAAAAAATCTGTAATTAGACCTGATTATAAAAAATAAAAAAAGTGTTGACCTTCTGAAGTTGTGTTGTTTATATATGTACAGCAATGTTCAAAAAGAAGAAAGTGCAAAATTATCAAAACACAAATTATTAAATAACAGTTAGTGCAAAACATTAAATGTTTACATGCATATATACTTTTTTTTCTCTCTAACTAATTTTTCATTCATTTATATTTTTGTTTGTTTTCTCACTAAGTTCCTCACTTTAATGCATCACACTGCCACGAACACATTTCACACCTTTCTAACACACTACCTGAACATAAAAATCATTGCTTGACTTTCATCTCATTTAAATGTATTTTGTTTGTGTTGTTACTCTGTATCTTTGCTTATGTTTTGCTATTTTTATTTTTGTTTTTATTTTTATTTTAATTTTTATTTTTAGTCTTTGTTTGTTTGTTCTCGCTGTAGTTGTCAAGTGTAGTGTAGCTCGTGAATGAAAAACATCATAACTGAGTTATGAAGGAAACAAAGGAGTTGTACATGGTGTATGTTTATTAGACTTTTCTGAATGGCAAAGATTTCAGTAAAACAGCAAAAGACGACATAGAAGTGGATACATAGAATCCAGAAATCAACTCTTATACCTGCTGATTTTCACAACATGTATGTGCACTGAACAAAATCTATCTTGCCTTTTACTAACTATATATATATATTTTTTTTTATTTATTCCTTATTTGTGTGTTGTGGTCTTTAGTAGTACGACTGATATCTAGAAATCATTTTAAAATATCTCAGTGGTATATTAGCCATTTGCAAAATCATTTTTTATTGTCTGTGGCCTAAAAAAAAAAAATTCTATCTGATGTGTCGCACTATATAAAGTATTTTGATACAACCCTCGATACAGAAATATAATTTCTCAGTCTGAAATTTGAGACTTAACGAGTCGAGACGTGCTCTCTGAGGGCTTTTTTAGTTTGTCCCATAACATGTTTACATCAGTCACATCTACATGAGACTTTCTGTGTTCCCTTAACGGTAACATTTATGTCAAAATGCTTCTTCATTCTTTATAACTGCATGACTTTGTTTAGAGTGTTGATGACTCTATTTTCTGTCTCAGATCATCCGAGACATCCAGCTGATGGGGATGGTGGCTCTGTTGATCCTGGTGGACTTTCTGGTTCTCACTGCCTGGAACCTGGCAGACCCTGTTAGGTGTTCCCGATCTGTCAGCGCTGTTGTAAAGGTACAATCTGAGTGTGTAGATTAAACACTGTACTTGCAAGAAATCACAGGTTTTAAGACTGCACATTGCTCATACTGAAAAAAAGTATCTAAACTTTGAAGACATAATCTCACTGTTTTGTTTTGTTTCCTGGTCCAGGTGGTGGAGAGAGACATTTCCTACTCTTTATCTCAGCTGGACACCTGTTCTTCTTCATACTCGGATCTGTGGACCGTCCTCATTGCTGTTCAGAAGGTGAGAAAACTTTCTTCCACTGAAATTCAGCGATAAAATGAACCGTTCATTTTTATGGTAATTCTATTTCCAATATTCTATTTAATGGTTTCTCTATTTCCTAAAACATTTGGTGTTTTCAGTCATCCCCCAAAACTCCTGAGAATTTCCCAACATTTGTTTCCATCTGAGCTGCATATGTGAATGCAAACGGATAACATTTTCCCGTCAGCCCCCGAGTCAACTTTCCTTGTGAAGTCAGGGTGGGCTGATGTGTGAACGCAGCAGGAATTATTCAGAGAAATAATGAGGATTGTTGTGCTCATAGTGATGCTGCTTCAAACTTTTTTCTCCTTTGCAAGTTTGTTCTTAACTTCTCATTGGATGATACTGGAGTCAGCAGTTCACTGTACAAAGTTAATTTTCTAGAACATTTCTGTTTAAGAAAAACTCCCTTTAGCACTATTTAAGACGAGAGAAAATATGAAGTCAGGCTGCGCAATATGTCACGTTGAAGGCAACCGCTAGTCTAACAATGATGATATTAAATGTATTTTAAATATGTAAAATAAATCCTTTTTTTACAGAGTATGGCTGTGCATAATTTGAACAGCCATACTCTGTAGTTCTGTTGTGAGAGAGATGAATCACTGTATTCTATGACAGCAATGCCCAAATAGTCTGTATTTTCAAACATTGTCTGGTTTTAGTGTTTAGTTCTTCAATATTTTGGCTCATTTTATTTAAAAATCATTTATCTTTTACTGACAGCTGATGCTTCAGATTTTTGATCACGTCACCTTTTGACCGAGCTGATTCTAGTTTTGTTGGAATACCTTAAATGCTTATAATCATATTTATTAAACATAAAGTTGGTGAATCCTTCGCTGAGACCTGACCTGTAAAATCCCCCAAGACTCCGTCTGTGTGTCAGCATGTCTAGACTTGTTAAGTCTCAACTTTCAGACGAAGAATTTCTATTTGTGCATCAAGGTTTGCATCAAAAAAGAAGTAGAATACTATAAAATGAATTATTGTATAGCCAGACTTATTCAACAATCCATCATTCATGAAGAAGTTCATCTTACTACGGGCCGGCTGTGGCTCAGTGGTAGAGTCGGCTGTCTCTCAACCAGAAGGTCCGGGGGGTTTGATTCCCCTTTCCTGCAGCCACATGTCGATGTATTTCTCCTGAGGAGGCTAAAAAGTTTTAACGTCAGACAGGACATTTTAACAGCAGTCACTCATTGAATCAGTCCTCACATTTAACATTTTATCCTGGTACGACTTTCTCACCGAAAAATGCAAGAAAAAAATCACTGGTATCATTAAACAAGTAACAAAAAACACCAGCAATACCCAGATCCAACTGTCAGAACTTTACAGGAAAGGAAAGCAGTCTGCATCACTCAGTGCATCACTCAGGACCCTTCACCCTTCACCACTCGTTTCAGCTGCCCCCCCTCAGGAAGTCGTTTTAGAGTACCACTGGTGAAAAAGAAAACTTACAGAATCTCTTTTATTCCCACTGCAATACGCATTTCAAACAAGGCTGGATAAGCAATGTTTTTTAAATGCTGTGCATGTGTTTTTACCTATTTAAGGTACTTTTAGCTATTTATGACCTGATGTGAGTGTTAGTGTGAATGTTTGTATGTTTTCATGTTGAGCCTCAACAAAAGGTCATTTTCTGTCACAATGTGATAGACAATAAAGTTTTTTGAATCTTGAATGTATCCCTTGACAAGACACTTAACCACAAGTTGCTCCTGTAGTACTGATGACACATAGGACACTCTGCCATCAGGGTGTGAATTGGGTGTGAATGGGTAACTTGTGACCTGCAGTGTAACCTCTTTGAAAAGTGCTATACGAGCGAATTCCTTTCACCATTTACCATTTACTGTCAGTTGTTTGACGTCCTGAAGCAGTTTAAGTGTGTCACTGTGTAAAGCTCTGAACTTCAGCACAAACTCGTGCTTTGATAATCATTTTTTATTATTTTTATTTTACAGGGACATTGCATATTAATAAACATTTAGGTAAATATGCCAGAGTTAGCCAAAAGGCTAATTTTCACAGATTTTATAAAAGGCTCCCTCAAAAAAAAAAAAAAATTCAAACATTGCTAAAATCTACAAAAATAGAAATATCATGACAGTAATGAAGCAGCCACAGGAGAAAAAACATAAACCATGCAGGATACACATAAAGCAGCATTTGGTAAAATCTAAAAAATGTATCTCATGCAGGACAGACGTGGAGCAGCTGACAATGTACCAAAAAAAAAAAAAAGTCTGGCTGTGTTTACTGACGTTTTTTAGGCTTTTGTGTTTTTGTACGAAATGTTTTTCATTCTGTTAAAATTTGCACATTATGAGTTATGAATATCAGTGACCTATTTATATTTCATGATGACACAGCACTTCATTCTGTATGTAATAGAAGCTGCTAAGATCAGCTATATTTAGTGCCTCTTACCTTTTACCTCATTAGCTTTTCAAAATGTATTTTGACCTTTGACCTTTCAATGCCTTGCTGCATCACCAATTGCCCAGCAGTTTTTTTTAATTTCAGCGTCGTCTTTATTTTGTCCTTTTCTGTTTTCTCTTCAGGGTTGTCTTCTCCTCTACGGGACGTTTCTAGCCGGGCTGACCAGCACAGTCAGCCATCCTCCGGTCAACCAATCCCCGACCATCATAACAGCGGCCACTCTGGTCACCCTCTCGTCGGCTGTGGCCGTTCCTGTCTCCATCTTCCTGCAGGCTTATCCTAACCTGGTCTACAGCACTGTGGCTGGAGCCATTTTCATCTGCACGCTGGCCACCAACTGCATGCTGTTTGTCCCTCAGGTAAAGAGAACAACGTCATCACTCCATATATGATGAATTAATAATGTTTAGGGAAGAGCAGGATTTCTTCCTCTTTGTTGCAAAAACACGCCTGACATCTCCTATTTATTTATTTATTTCTTCATTTATTTACTTAATTCATTAATTAATGAAAAAAAAGAAATCCTGAAAACTTTCAGCTTTTTTTTATCTTTTATTTTTTTATTGCACGACAAGAGACAATTACAATGAGCACAGGCCACAAAAGGGGTATATTCATGTTTTACTTGAGTGTGTGTGTGTGTGTGTGTGTGTGTGTGTGTGTGTGTGTGTGTGTGTGTGTGGATGGAAAGTCAGAGTGAGAAAAAGGAAAACAAATACAAAGTCACTACAAAACAAAAAACAAAAACAAAAAAATAATAAAAATAAATGAATAAATAAGTAATGATAGAGATGATAACAATATTCATCCAGGATTCATTTTTAGTATCAGTGTGAGTGCCACAGGATGGCACGTGTGGAATCCAGCCATTAAAAACAGTCAGGCAGATCTGATGATGCAGGTACGCAGACACATGACAGAATGAAAGATGCTCGTCTGACTTTCTCTTTTTTTGTTTTGACAAAGTTGTAAAATCAATCGTCTGATTCTGGTTCCCACATCTTTATTTGCCGTATGCGTGCCAGTGTGCCATGTCTATCAGAGGAGAGTGAGTCACACAGAAGGTGTTTATGAGTCAAATCTACGTAGGCTGCTGCAAACAGGTTTATGACTCTTTGAGTGTCTGCTGGCGGCGGGGAAAGAATGCCTCTCCAGCGGGAAAGGAAGGAAATGTTTGAACAGTGAGCAACAGGCTGAAACACACCTGGTCAAAAGGTCCGGTGTTGAATGATCCTGGAAACATTTACTACTCGTGTGAGTGTGATGCATCTTTACTTTAAAGTTTGCGTAACACCTTTTTTTTTTCTCTCGTCGCCGTGCAGCTGACACAGTGGAGACAGTTTGAGGAGGATCAGAACAACCCGAGTCAGATGGCAAAGTATTTCAGCAGCCCCAGTAAGAGCCAGCCGTCGGTGTACAGCCAAGACGAGATCTACTACCTGCTGGGGGAGAACACCTCCATGAAAAAACTACTCAGTGAGGTAATGCACTGTTTTCATCCAGTCTACTGCTAAAAGAGAAAATCTAACAGAGGACAGGAGGTCGTCTTGTGGGCCATGCTCTTGCATTTTCTTTTAAAGCTTCTTTTAGGAACTTATTGGCGAGCCCTCCTAGCAGGAGCTTTTTTTTTTTTTTTCTTGAATGTAAAGCATGATGTTTTATTTTCATTAATGAGCCTTCATCAGATCATGCTGGTTGTAATGTATTTTAACAAAGTAATGGAACAAGTGAATGGTTAAAACTAACTTGGAACTGTCCCCACGCCCTAATTCATTTTTTTTTTAAATTGTATCTTTATTTGGAGCGGACAGGTTGATACACCAACATAACAACATTAGTAAAAATAAAAACAAATGTCCTTCCAGTTTTGTTTGTTTTGAGTCCGGAAAAAGCGCATCACCCGCCATCCAGGAATACGAGTCTCAAGAAAGTAAAGTCATAGGTCTTGAAGGAGCTTTAATGTGATTTTGTGAATTCTACTTTAGTTTCATTTGTTGCCACTAATCCAAGATTACTCTCTAACTTTTCTAACTAATAAGAATGTTCACATTCTGCTGACTTGGCATTTTTAATAGAGTCCAAGACTGACTCGCATTCATTCATACCAGCTGTTCAATACTTTTGTTATATTATTCACAGAGGTTATGTGTATGAGTGTTTAAGTTTTTTAATTTCTTTCTGTTTTATTAAAATCTCCAGAAGAACGCTGTGATCGACAGTCTGCAGGAACAGGTGAACAACGCCAAGGGTAAACTCCTGCGACTCATGTCGGCCAGTCAGCCACCCGACGACCAGGACCTGGACTCCTCTGACACCAACCTCAACTCTTCCTCCACTCAGACCACAGAGCTTCAGTCTGACCGGATCTCTTCCTCATCTCTACCTCAGAGGGACACCAGATCCCCACTTCCTCCTCCTCCTCCTCTCACTGCAGCTGTTCCATTATCTGACAGAACAACCCCCTCTGCTGCAAAATCTCCAGACCTCATCCCTGCCTCCTTTCCTCTCTCTGAGGGTGAAAATAAGAGAAGTGTCACTACAAGCGGTGCTCCAGGTGGAGGCCCAGCTGAGTCCAGAACACGGGACCCTAAAGAGCCCGCGTCCCTAAAGTCCAGCGGGTTACTCAGAACAGCAGAGGAAACAGTTCAGTTTGTCACTTCCTACAATCCCACAGAGGATTAAACCCCGCTCAGGTTGAAACTCTCAACAATAAAAGTGGCCTGACGCTCAATCTGGGACGACACACCAGACCGGCTGGTTTTGTGAGCAGCGAGCAGTTGCAGGAGATCCTCCAGGAGCTGAACGTGGACGCCATTATAGAAACTGCGCTTCGATCCCCCGGTCAAATGTCTTCTCAGCTGAAATATTCCGACGCTTCTGCTGCGCTCTCCCCGCTTTCCCTGCGGACTCCACGCTCCCCTCATCCGCCGCCTCTTCTCTTCCGCTTCCCCAGCGTCTCTCCGTACGCCATGAGGAAGCGCCGGCCGCCCTTCCGCTCCTCCAGGAGAGGTTTGGCCCCTCGCTGCTTCTACACAGGCTCAGAGGCTGCTGCTGCCGGTGGGAAGAGAAAGGTCAACCCTGGACTTCAAGATGATGCAGCCACGGTGGGGGGTAGCCTCATTCAGGTGGAAGACTCTGACCTGGAGGAAGAGGAAGAGGGGGAGGAAGGAGACGCAGAAGGGAATGAAGCGATTAGGAAATGTCGGAAGTGTGATTCAAGGTCTCACAGGTTTCACACAGCGTCATCGTGTGTGGAAGCAGCCGGTGAAAACGGTCAGAACAGGCGCATCAGAGACTCCTGCGGGTACTGGGACTCCGACTCCAGCAGCTCCACGGACTACTGTTACTACCACCGTCCGTACTGTGACTCGTGCCTGCAGCGAGGCTCGCTCCTGTCCTCTGACTCCTCCTCAGACTCCTCCGACAGCGAGTACGACGGCTACACCGGCCTGTACCGCTCCCCGCACCCCGTGGTGTTCAAAGAAGACCTCAAACCCACCTTTGTATAAGCACAGGGGACACTGCACTTTACACTTCTCCGAGCTTAGTGCATCATTTTACTGAAAAAGAATTGTGTGTTTTGCGAGCTCTATGAAAGGAACACAAATATTCTTGAATCTTGCATCCTAGAACATAATTATTATTTAAAGGCTTTCTATGTGATTTTTCACACTTAAATGTAGAAATCAAGTATCTCCTCTGAAAATAACTCTGTGAGTCATGACTGTCTACAATGGGTGTAACACCCGAGTCCCACTGTCTGTGATGTTTTCAGAGTTTTCAGAGTCCTATCTTCACTTTGTTTACATCGTCAGGACGGCGATGAAAATTGAGGGACTAGAGAAAAGAAGAATAACATACTGTACTCACTGCTTAACTGTGTTTCTAGATCACGCTCATTTCAGGTAAATTTACATGCAGTGTGAAGATACCAGCAGAATAAAGATCACTAGCATTAGCATGCTAACACAACAATGCAGCGCAAGTTGTTTTGGTTTCATGCTGGTGCTCAAGGCGACATCTGCTGGATCAAAAATCACATATAAAGCCTTTAACTTATGAGGATAAAATAATTGTCAACCATTATGTAGCTGTTTTTTTTATATTACATATTTGTATATTTCTTCTGTCAGTCCTCACATTCCAAAAATGTTGACTTGAGAGCAAAATGAAAAGGTTTCTCACAACAGTTGAGATGTGCACTGTGCTTGTGCAGCGGTGTATTTATTTTGATATTTATTAGTAGAAGTCTGTGTATTGCTGTTTTAAATTGTCAAACTCATTCCTTTAAAGTCGATATACAATCTTATTGTATGGTCTGCTTTTTGTCTGTTTTCTGCTCTACATTTTAAATTTGACACATCGTCAGAACAATACTCTGCATTTTTTTTTTTTTTAACATTCTTTTTATTGATTTTCAAAGACAAAACAATAACAGCTCAGTGCACTTTAGCAAAGTATTTGCACACATTCAGCATCTACCAGTATACATGTGATTAACAGTGATGTTGTACCACAGCAAGATAATCATTCAGGGATCATTATGATAAGTTACACTTATTCAAAGGCTTCTCCCATTTTATTTTAAAGAGATGAGTCTTTCCTCCGATACAGTATCTTAACTTTTCTAATGTCACAACATCAGATATCAGAGATTCCCACAAGTGAACAGTAGGGGATTCATCCCCAACCCATGATACTCTGCATTTTATCTCAAGATCTTATTTATCACACAATCAGAGAAATTAGAAAATAAACAGGTCACTATCTGCTTTCACTTTACACAGTTTGCTGATCCTTCTATTGTAAGTCACATGTGTATCTTCAGGTTATAGAAAGACAAGTGACCTGAAGCCCTTTTGGTTTTCATCCCCCTTTCCCCTTTTTTTCCCCCCTAAAAGAAAATTGAAACCACTTCCTGTTTACTCTGCATTGTGTCCTGTTACATCAACTTCCAAAGCAGAAAGTGTATTAATCCACCGGTTTCATTTAGGCCCAGATTAACCTGCTCGGGGGCTCAAAGCTCAAGCAAACACTCAAACATTCAACAGTAGAACTCAAAACCTTTCTCCCTGATTCCTGCAATTCAACATATGCAAGAAGACTAATCCCAGAATCAGAATCAGATTTATTGTCCAGGTTTGCTTACACACACACACACACACGGAATTTAACTTCAGTGAACTGTGCTCTCTTATGTACAGGTACAACATTAAATATCAACAATAAACAGAATAAGAAAAGACTAATATTTACATGACTAAATATGAAACAGTGCAAAAGATGCTGAAGTAACATGATGAGTAAAATGCAGTTATGTGACAGATGGCTCAATTAAGATGTTGATTACAGTAACCTTTCTTACAGCACAAAACACGACTTCTGTTTACCTTTTAACAGTAAAAGCAGCAATTTCCCATGATATGTATGTGTATAAGTCATGTGTCTTCAATCATGACTAAAATAGTAAAATAGCAAATCGAGTAGATTCTGGCATTTCCATGATTTTCCTGCAATACAGACAAAAATAGAGCATTTCTCTCTCCCACTCATTTCAGTGTTTCTCTTTCCAGTCTCTCACTCCCTCCCACTATCTCCTCTCCATCTCCCTGTATACGTTTTCTTTCTTCTGATGGGAATAGAGCGTCTGCCGGGGGAGGTGTTGCTATATGAAGGGAGAACTTGTGTCTTACATTAATTCTGCTCTGCTGCCTGTTTTTGAGTCTCTATTCTGCATAGCATCCATTGAAGGGGCAGCCTGGGAGAAACTCCTTTTGATACAGAGCATAACAGAGTATAAATAAACCACACAAAGAGCTGACTGCCAGCATCACCATGCAGCAGGAGAAAAGACTTAACTGCAAAAATATGATAAGTGCCCTGCAATATCTAATGTCGACTTCATAGAAGATCATTTATACACAGACATATTATTAACGTATCTATCATGCATTAGAAAGGTTTCACGGTTAGGCTGCTACAACGCTGCAAGAAACGGAAAATATATAGGATCAAAGAAAATTAGAAATAAAAAGTAAATAACAAAACAAAAAAGCAAAGAATCAGAATGTTTTTTTATTGCCAATTTACACATACAAGGAATCTGTCTCGGTATATTGGTGCAAACACAGTTAAAGGAAATAAAGCCAAAATAGCAAGAACTTAAAATAAGTTATTATAAATATATATGTATATATAGTGGTATAAATATACTACATAAGTATAAATAACATAACAACAAAAGGTGCAGTTAATGTAATGCATAAAAACAGATTCAGTCAAGCAACACTTAAGTTACAGTAGTGCTTAATTAATCATGCTGTTTATAATTTGTACATCGTCATAGCAACTTGTAATACTTCTGTGATGTGTGTATGATATGTAGATGACTGAGGGTAAGGCAAATCAGAATCAGAATCAGAAATACTTTATTAATCCCAGAGGGAAATTCGATCGTTACAATTGTTCCTATAGAAATATAATAATACAAATATTAATCAAATAGAATAGGAATGTAAGTAAGTATATTTACACAAATAGTCCAAAACAAATTGTTTGTTTCAATATTGCACTTTGTTATCATGGACATATTATTCATTATTATTATTATTATTATTATATTGCACTTTTAATAAATAATGAGTTATGTGGAGGTTACAGTTTTTCAGTTTTTTATTTATTTTTTTCAGTTTGAACTAGTCCAGAGTCAGACGGCGTGTTTGTCACTCAAAGGGAGGAGTTTTATAAAGTTTGATGGCCGCAGGCAAATGTGATATCAAAAGCTTTAAACACATAAAATTACTATTTTTCCATTCATCATTTTCAAACTATAAACTCTTTATAAATGCCATTGTATATATAGAATAGAATAGAATTACTTTATTGATCCCAAACTGGGAAATTGTGGCGTTACAGCAGCAGGTTATCCAAACACACAATATGAGTAAAAAACACAATATTAGCTAATTTAAACACAATATAATATTAAATACAAAGTAAATAAGCACTAAAAATATCAAAACTAAGAATGTGAATATATACAACCAGGATTTAACTTAGCATTACTAGTCTTAAATATGAAAGATTAAATGTAAATGTGCAAAAGAAAGAGTTGTAAATGGACAGTATGACATAAGTTAAAGGGTGAGTGTAGACATGTAATCAGCAGATAATAAAGTTAATGGCTACTGTACAAAAACAGATGTAGTGGTGAAATTAGCCTGAATTAATTTTTTCAGTGATAATGCAGACCCTGCTCATATGTACAGACTCATTACAACAATTACTTTGCTTTATGGCACTAATTAAATGAACGTGCCACGGGGCCTCGTGAAGTAGGATGGGCTTTTTCTATTTAACATAGCAACAGTGCTGCATGACCACCGGTGTGTCTGTGACAGCTGGGCCCATTCGTACTGACAGTACTGATTCTGGAGCCCCATTGGCTGACGAAGCCATCAATCATGTGAGCAGAACCCGCCCACTGTCCCCGTCGCGGCATGGAGAAAAAGCCCTTTGAAGTCGCGAGGGCGGCGCCAAGCAAATTGTTCCATGTGGTGCTCGAGAACCGGCGTCCTCATTGGATCAGATAAAACCCGGTCAACGCCCATTTCTGAAGTATCCCCTCTTCTGATTGGTTGAACCCGCCACTTCAGATTCGCCGTCTGCGCGTTCACAGTTTTCCTATTCTCCGTTTAGAGTTACGACAGTTGCGTAAACTTCCTTCTATGATGCTGGAAGTAGCCCTACGTCCGCGTAACGGATACTGCGCAGCTAATGTGCGCAGCGACAAAAGACAGCGAGACCTGTGGGGAAGGAATAAAAAAAAGAATTTCAGTACCGTCGCCCTCTGTGTGCTTTAAGACCATCGTTATCTGAAGAGGTCGCTGCCCCGGGACTTCGGCAAAGAAAACCGAGAATTTGCGAGCGACGAGGTGCGGCGGGGTTTGTTTGATTGAACCGTGAGGTGCTGAACTCGTTGTTCTGAAGACTGAGGCAACGGGAGGATTTTTCCGTTGGACGGTGAGGCTGAGCGCACAGCGAGGGAGCCGCCATGGCAGTCGGATCATTGAGCCTCCACATCGGGATATGAAGAGGAACCGCATGTGTCCAGAAAACACCGCATTCACCGGGAGCACAGATCCTCACAGCTTGTTTTCAGATTTGTGAGAATAATTCCACGTTGAAATAGAAATCTCAGTCGGTTTTAATCGGGGAGGGGGCCACAGGGAGAGGCCAGATTCATGACTATTTTAGTCGGAGACGTGTCTTCAAAGGCCCGCTGAGAGAAAACCCTGGAGCACACGGAAGAAATGATGCTGTGATTTTAGGGACAGAAAGAAAAGGGTTCTTTTAGAAGGTGTTGGAGGATCTTGGACTTCGCTTTCTGTCTAACCCTTTCTCTTTTCATTTTTTTTTTTTTTTTTTACTGGTATTCATTTTTCTGCCATCCTTTTTTTTTTTTGGATGAGAAGGTCCGGCGGATCGATCTGCCCGTCTGCCGTTCAGTGAGTGAGTCTCCAGTCTCCGAGTCCAGAGAGAACCGAAAGGGGGTTTGGATCATGTCGGGTCGGCCCAGGACCACATCCTTCGCAGAGAGCTGCAAACCAGTGCCGCAGCCCTCTGCATTTGGCAGCATGAAAGTCAGCAGTGAGTACCCCTCCTCATGTCTTCTCCACCTTCTCTCTGCATGCACCAGGCCCCGAAAAGTGGGGCTTCACATTCTTGCAAAACCGGACTGGAAATGTGTCTAGTGAGCTAACGTTAGCTTCTTAGCCCCTGTCATGAATCTTGGTCACAGGCTTGAGATTGGCAAACACACACACTGCTCTCCTCAGTGTTAGCACACACACACACACACACACACACACACACACACACACACACACACACACACACACACACACACACACACACACACACACGCTGCATTCTGACGCGCCGGTCAGCCTGACCTGCTGGGTTTAGCAGCAGGCCGTGCCCGGGCAGTGCAGCAGGGGGGGAAGCTGGGGGTTGGCACCAGCCCAGCCGAGAGAACCTAGCCAACTCCTTTTTTTTTTTTTTTTTTTTACTGCAGGTCCGCTCTCATTAATGCCCACTTGAATGTCGATTAGATCTCATAGCTAGGATTTGCTACATAGCATGAATACCGGTATGCGTAATAGCGCGTAATGGCGTTAACGCGTTAAAGCGATATGGCCGGTCCATTACGCAACTTGTCAAATCGGAAGGTGCCGCCCCACAGTTGTCTGGTTCACTGATATTATTTGTTCTGGGGCCGTTTCGATGTCAGACGTCGCGACGACTGGAAGGGGAGTGTGACAGAGAGGATCCTGTTCATGGAGCCACAGTGGCACCGTGCCACCGGGCTGCTTATAGACCGGCTGCAGAGAGAGAGCTGCACTAGGCCCAACGTTACCTGCAGAACCATGGGACTCTGACATTCCTCCTTCAAACTCATAAATGACTACATTTTTTGCTTTATAGTATCTCTGTATTTAGTCATAAGCATGCATCTTTCCACTGCACGTTTTGTTCAAATGTCTCTTGACTAAATCGCTTCTTGAAACATTTCAGCGCTGTGTATTTTTACCATAGATTGCAGACACTGTACGTTCAAATAATCCTGTTTTTTATGATTATTAATGAGGGGCTGTCCCTGCTGGAGATATACAATTGACCTATAGCTACCACCCTTTCTTATCTGATGTGTGTGTGTGTGTGTGTGTGTGTGAGGAAAAAATGACTCCTGTTAAGGAATGTGTTGGTGGTGGTTTGAGGCTGTGATGTGGTCATGATGTGTGTTAGTGGGGTGAGGCCTGGGGCTCTCCTCTGGGCCTTGGCAGAGGAAACTACCCAGTGGACTAGGACACACACACACACACACACACACACACACACACCGTACAAAGGAGAAGCACTTACATCCAAAATGTGCTACTCCTCTTGCCCCAGATACTACGGCTGTGCTGCTGTCAGTGTGTTACAATCTTGGATGTTTAGCTATAAAAAAAAAAAGGAAAGGAAAAGCTCTCCAGGGTGGAAATCTTGTGTTTTTTCAATGAAGTCTTTTCCTTTATTGTTAAAGCATAAAATACTGAATTTAGCACCAAAGAGCAGACATTGACATTACATGACTGTTACACCGTGTTTTTTTCCAAGGCTCATCTGGTTAGTCAGTGTTTCATTATCTATCATTAAGAGCTGCAGTGTTGGTAGTCATCCAATTAACTAGGTATTAAATCAATGGATTTTTTTTATTAGCCCCATAGAGGAAGGTGTTAGCAGTAAACACATAAAACATTTATTTGAAGACTTTAGCAAAGGGTGATAAATCTGTTTGACTCATGAAAATCATAAAAGTTCAAAAGACGAATTGGATAACTTTTTTTGCATGATCGTGAATAAGTTGATACCTTTGGTTTAATGAGGTTGTTGTGTCTTTACAAGAGGGTTCACAGTGCATCGAGTTCAATACTTGTTGTGCTTTCAGTACAGGAAAACAGACTGTAGAAAACAATGAGCTTGTCCTTTATTTTGGAAACTGTAAACGATGGCCTACACTCTTACTACGAGTGTTAAGAAACTTAAAATAATGAAATGTGAATCGAGACTCTAGACATTTGGAACGCTGATTTGGTCTTAGTTTTTTAAGATTACGACCCCAAGCTCTGAGTCATAACGCGTCCTTCTTTGATTGTCACACTTTGACTCAGTTGGTCCACTATCCTTATCTGTAGATTCTATTTTGTTGAACTATTTTGTGCCATTCACATCTGCAGAGTTGTTCAGCCAGAGACTATCTCTAATTTGAAACTCACTAAGCCCCAAACAGAAGTCGGCTCGAAAAATCTTCCTTTCATGGGATTGAAAATGGCACCAACGCGTTCTTGGAAGAGTTAAAAACATCACAATGAAGAGTCTGTAATGCACAAGTCTTTTGGTTTGAGGATAGAAAGAAGTAGAAATGATAAGAAGCATTGCAACCATCTTTTAACTTCTAGGTTCTCTAATGGTGATGTCCTGTTTTCCCTAAAGGCAATCATATCCATGTGTGTTGGGAAACTCCAATCCAATCCAACTTTATTTGTCAAGCACTTTAAAACAACCACAGTTGACCAAAGTGCTGTACAGAAGAATAAATAAAATACATAACAGCTCACATGAGATAAAAGAAAACTACATGTGAAATACAGAATCCATTTAAAAGAAATAAAACGAATAGGCACGCAAAAAAAGAAATCAAATCAATAAGTCGACGTCTTACTGTGTGTTAAAGGCCATGGAAAAGAGATGGGTCTTAAGACGAGATTTAAAAAGAGGCAGAGAAGAGGCCTGTTTAACGTGCTGAGGTAAATCGTTCCACAGCAAACGCACGGTCCCCTCCGAGCCTCCGCTTGGTTTGAGGCCCCCTCAGGAGCAGCTGATCAGCTGACCTGAGAGAGCGGGTGGGCGTGTACGGGTGTAGAAGCTCAGAGCGGTAGGGCGGGGCAAGACCATTAAGTCACACCCACATCTGTCAAGGAATCACTGATGCATTACTTATGACATTCTGTGAGACTATAGGGGCTCTTTGGAAAAGTCTTAAAAAAAGACCCCCATATGTCCTTTCTTATCTGCTTCTCTTGACCTTGTTAAAAAAAAAATGTCACAGGGAAAAGGAGAGGTTTGAATAAGAGGATAGGAAATGAGAACGGAGGAGATAAGGGAACGTATCTGACTGGTGGATGCTACTGATGTTAGCAGGTCTGCTAGTATGAAAACTACAAATCAACTCAAATGGACTACAAAGAGCACGTCTATCGCCTGGTGCGATCTTGACGCGTCTTTCTTTTCCAGCCATGAAACTCTGTGATAAAAACGACCTCATTAAGGTGCTTAAAGGTTACGAACCTGAACAGGCGGCCCGCTCAGGACGAGCAGCTTTTAGCCGCTTTGACGGCGAGCCTGCAGATCTGAGACTTCCTGTAAGGGTACATATCTGTAAAGTAGAATTTATTTGATATTAAAAAGGGTTTTATGACAGTTTTTTTTAAGTCCTCATTTTACTGAAGTAATGTATTAAACTTATTGAATTGTCTTTAATTTAATTTCCTTTTGAATTAGTTACGACTTGTTCTGTCTTACTATCGGCTCTCTGCTGACAAAAAAAATGTCTTTATCATTTTATCTTAATTATGAGGAAATAAACAACGATCTCGTTTCGACTAAGCTATCTTTAACGACATCAGAACGTCATAAATCCTGCTTCATATGGGCAGTGGTTAAACTTTAACCACACTCTATTCTCAAAGTGATGCAGCTAGTGCAGTTGAATTATTGATTGATAAATCAGAGATTGGGATTAGAGGAATATTAATGAGCAGAGGACAAGGTGAGGCGATGTGGTGTTCAGGTGTTGAATGGTTGAGAGGCTTTCCACCTATAAGAAGGTTGACCCAAGGAATTGTGGGTCAGATGTTCTTCTTCTCTTTCATAAATGATGGTCAGTGTGTCCTAAGGCTAATGGAGATAATAAATGGGTCAAATGTTCTTTCTTCCCTCATCATTTAGAGAATTTAAAAAGCTCTCATCTTCTAACCTTCCTAATTAAAATAACTATTTGAACAGACTCCAGATTTTGTCCTCTGTTTTTTTTTTTTTTTTAAGCTCCACTCGAGTGAAGTTTTAGAATTGTGTAATGTAGAAGTAATGATTCTCTTATCAACAAGTGACAGAAATAACCTGCTACAACCTGATTCATCATCAGGAGATACACATAATGCAATGTCATGATTGCACTTTGGACCTACAATCACTCACACACACACACACACTCACACACACACCACACACACACTCACACCCCTTTTATGTATGAGAATAACTTGACTATCTCAAGCAGCTGCTGTAGCGAGTGTGTATGATCCTGGAGAGAATGCACTTACCCCTCCTACACAGGCAGACAGGAACTAACACACACACACACACACACACACACACACACACACACACACAAAAGCATATGCATGCATACATTTCCTCATCCACATGAGCACTCTCACTCTTTGGTTCTGTTTTTGGGGGTGAGGCAGCTGGCCAAGAACAACGAGCAGCCTGTTTAGCATTTCAAAGCTGCATCTCTTTTCTCCCCCCTCCTCCTCTCTGTCCTCCCTCTTTGCCACATTTTGCAGATGATGACGGGGAGGGGGGACACAAAATGAACTAATTATATACTCTTTGATTCCAAATGAGACAGTGAGGGGACCAGAACCAGAATCATGCACAGGATTTAAATAAGAAAGAGAAACAGACACTGTAGAAAATGATCCTCATCAGGTGTTTTCTGCGACGGTTATTGAACATCTTGTATGGTGGCCATTTTCCTCTGATGTCACACTCAGGGTGGGAAGCTCTGATGCTCTAATAATGTCAAACCCTGCAGTTGCTTGTTGTTATTTCAGCTAGTTATTTACCTGTTTCTGCTAACCAATTAGCTACTGCGAAACAGCAGCTAATGCCTCTCAAAAACTCCTGGCAAAATGTCCTCATAGTCAGAAAACATCAGGAAGGCATATATTCCTAGCTAACGTTTTCCGAGGAACGTCTGTCTTTTACTTTTGTCCTGCTTTTTTTTTTTTCAAGCTTTGTGCAGGATTCCTCGTTAGCAT